TGGGAAGGCCCCTACAAAAATTATCAAGGTGATCGGTGAAGGTATGTACGAGCTTGAAACGTTAGAGGGGAGGCAAGTACCTCGTGCATGGAACGTCGACAACCTAAGGAGATATTATCTATTAAAAGTCCGAAAGTTTTGAGCTATGTCTGCAAATACTACAAATTTCACTAAGTGTGAAAAATGAGACCTCCCGCCCTGGCGACCTGGCCTAGCCAATCTACCCTATGAGCACTTCGACTAAGTTGTACATAAGAGGAAGCCAAACCGCTTTCAACTCTAAGGCCCCTACGTCGACCTTAGAATACGTCGGTAGTTTGACAACTCGACATCATTTTGACACCTAGGCAACTAGTGCACCTCGTTACCCTAGCACTTTGGATTGCGTTTATAAGTCTTATCCTACTTTCTAAGGCAAAAAGATAAACACATAGGATGTGCAAAAAATCAATTCCGTTAAATAGAAGAAGGAAAGAGTACATCGCTACTAAAAAAATTAAGGAAGCCGAGCTCAAAGGCTCGTTATACAATGTATATACATAGGGTCCAAGAAAAGAGGCAAGAAAGTCAAACATTATGGGGCTCGTCTACCCCCACATCGGCACCTTCCATGACAGCATTAGATCCGTGGACCACATCGACCTCCTCCTCCTCTTCGTAGTCAGGCTCTTGGTCGACCTAACCCATCATCTCGTTTGTGCACACCGAGGACTTTAATTTGTTGAGGTCGAACTCCGAGCACACCGAGGCCACTAGCATCCAATACAACTTGAATCCCTAATGAAAAGTGCCAGACCCGAACTCCTCCCTTTCCTTCAAGAAGTCAAGCAAAGTCTTGAATTCTTCAACTGCATGGACCTTGGCATCATGGGCGTCATCGAGAAACTTTGACAATTGCTCTCTCGACTTCTTTCTCCTACAACTTCTGGTCCTTGAGCCCAAGCTCCTCGATCAACTTCTCAACCTCCCTTATCAAGTCCACAGTGCAGCTCCCCTTCTCCATGAGCTCGTCCTTCAGGTCACCGATGAGAGAGATAGCCCGTTCAATTCAAGACCTATACTCCACTGCTTCCTTCTCGACAACTCTGACAACGCCGAGCTCTACCATCTCATCGAAACTCCAAAGATAGGGATGAGAGAAATGGGCCCCTGAGGGTCATATTTTTAAATAGATCAACCGAACTATGGACGGTTGAGATTGGTTGGATCCAATGGCTCACAAGGGTGCGATGGTTCATATTCCGAGGTGAAATTAGTTTAGCATGTTTTTTATGTCCGCACGACCTAATGGTTGTGTAGTGTCCTCACGTCCCCGATACGCTACCTTGTGCCTAGGCCAAACCGACCAAACCAACTTGATCCCGAGCCCTTGGTCGGACCACAAATGAGGACGGAAATCACACCAAATCACCTCTGGTTAAGACTACTCCCCTCGTCAGACTGATCACGTCAGATTTGGGAGTAGGGGGCAATTGATGAGGGGTAAAATGATATGACAACACAAGGCATTGCAAAACAACAGAATAACACCTTGGCACCACGTAAACAGACCCCATGAGCATTTTAGACACTTCACAACTACATTAGCGACCTTGGCACCACCCGGTAGGCCGAACTCCGAGCGACCTCCCCTTTATGTGGGTTATGGCCTCCGAATTCCCTGGGATCACGACGCCACATAGGAAGAGATGGTTATCACCCCGCCCGCTTCGGTGGAATTGGATAGACATTACCTACTTACATGAAGTCCATTTCCAAGCGTAACCACCTCCAAACCAGACGAGTCAGAGATCCTAGACACATTTCGTAAGGCTCATGACAATTCACCTATATAAGGGCCTCACCTCCAATCTCATAAGATACATACAATTTAGCATTCAAGCTCTCTACTTCTCTCTTACTTTCTTTCTCTTAAAAAACTCTAATTCACTAACTTAAACATAAAAATGTCTATAGCAAATAAAGTAGCCCGAGTACTGAACTACATAATCCAATGTCCGAGTTGTAATTCATCGAGGAGCTTTCCAGATAGCGTACCATCAGGGTTCATATTGTTCCGGCCATGCGCAACCCTTAGCTTCTGAATACAACCAAATTAATTTAGTATTTCACAGTAATAACAGAATTGCAGTTTGCACCGGAAGTCTCCACAATCTTCTTGTACATAAACGGGAAAAAAAGGGTAAAATTTCACTGTTCACCCAACAACTCTGGCTCGGAGCAAAAGAAAGACAAAAACAAATCATCCAACATAACCAAATCGACCGAAAAGAATCGAGGAATTGAAGTCCAGTAATAATGTAAGTGACGAACAAATCACGATTTCATGATAACATGCTGTAATGGCCGACAAGATGTCGCGTCTGTCTGTCTGTCTCCCTCTCTCTCTCTGTGCAATGCAGTAATCCTCCAGGGAGTAGGGGTGGTGTTAACACTCATTGTGACAAGTTCATGCGATCATGGTGTTTTAATGCAACAGGTTTCTGTCAGTCTCAACCTTCAACCTTTAAATTGTGATCTCGTCTTCGGTTTGGATAAATCAATTGATGGGTTTCTTACTGCTAAGTGCTAACATCTTTTTGGTGTAACACAAAGACTTTCCATCTAATAATCACCCATAATCCTAGTATTAAGATAGGATTCAGTACTGTATCAGTGCTGATAAAAACATTTCTATGATTGGAATTAGAAAACTAAAATTTAGAGCGGCCATGTTTTGGTCAGAGTCTCATCTGCCCAGTCTAGAGTGTACCCAAGCTTGAAGCAGTTCTGACAGGTCCAGCTTTGTGCTAAGCCTCCATTAATTTATTTTGTTGCTAACTTCTTGGATTTGTCAACATATGACTTGACTACATACATACACAAGAAAATGCATAATCTTCTCAATTAGGATATGTTTCTTAATGTTTGCTTGTCCCCCAAGAATAAAATTCCAAAATTCCACAAATAATAAATTAAAAAGCTGTCAAAGTTCAGTTTTTAAAGGAGAAAGTGTGAAAGCTGTAGATTAATGTAGAATATATAATATAGCCAATTAGCCATTACAATTGACTGTTTTGGTATGTATTAACTTGACCATCAAGCCATCCTCTCTTAAACCAGCCACGAGTGAGCATGCTAGTATTCTGTTATACATTGTTATACATGGGTCCATATTTCATTCTCCTCCCTATATAATTTTAATTTACGGTTTATGGTTTGATCCGGTTTATAAAATATAAAAAACTAAATCAAAACCGAAATCTCAATTTAACAAAATATGAAACTGAACCAAATCGTTACAATGAGCATCCCTACACAAGAGCTTCTAACACCCTGGCCCATTGCTTAGCCCAAGTAGTAAAAGTGTTAAACAGTTTGTATGTAGGAGGTACCAATGGAAAAGCTTTTAACGGCTCCAAACTGTTTAAGCAATGGGTAACTCTATCATCTCGAAAAGTTATCTAAAAAAAATCATCTTAATTGGAAATAAGAGTGCAAAGTTATGATTTATGACCTCCTAATAGGAAATCAGAGTGCAAAGTTATGATTTATGACCTCCTAAAGTTTGCATACATAGTTGGTATATAACCTGCGATTCAGTCACTAGGTTGAACGGACCAACAGTCCAATCATTTGGGTCAAACGACTTTTACCAAGTCAATAATTTTTTAACTTTCTTCGGGTTTTATTCAAATCAAACCTAGAATCTTGATCACGTGATGATTCTAACGGTTCAACCATCCAAGTTAACGGTAGATTGAAAATACTGACTTAAACAGTTTGTATCCATAGTTCTCGACTTATATAATTTATTTATTCAGAAAAAGAAAATATATATTTCAGTTTAGGGTCAGAATTGTAGGCCTAAAGTACTGTTGGGATAGGCTCAAAATTGATGTCAATACACGGGCAGGCATTAGTGCATAAAATGTGGGTTGTTGACATTTTGAATGTTTATAACTCTCCAGTGGAAATAAAAAATCTACATTGGACCGTACTTTTCCGAAAAATATATATGCAGAAGGTCCCAATCCAAAAGCTTTGGTTGGTGCATGTCCATAACCTGTGAGGTAGAAGAATAATTGTCCCCAATCTTCTTTAGACAAAAAGGCAAGAAACTCTGGAAGGATTGACATGTAATGTGGAAGAGATCACATCTGCACCCCACATGGCGCGTCCCATAGACGCCCTACATACACATATAAGCAACGCATTTGAAAATTCGATGTTCCCAATGCACGGTTGGGATGTATTGTGAGATGCACCTGTAGCTGTGGGGCACCATTGTGAACTCGGTTGAGGAGCAAATCCAATTTCCCATTGATCAACACTGATCTACGATCACCTTATTTGCAGTGGATGATCAGGAGACCAGATCTGTTCCTCACATAGGGCCTCACAATGACTTCATAGGCACATCCCGTCATGCATTGAGAACATCTTCAGTAGTTATGTGTTATTATTTACGGGAGATTTTCTCAATATACAGTGGGATGGAGACCACATCTCCGTCCCACAATGCCCTATAGTACATTCCTGCTGTGTATTTAGAACATTTCCCGATGATGTCATCATCGAGAGATGCTCTCAATACACGGTGGGGATGTGCTGTGGGGCGAGACGTTGTGGGGTGGAGATGTTAACTCCATTGTTTTCAAAACCGGCCAGATGGTCAGACCAGAAAAACCGGGAACCGATCAGGTCCGTTTCCCCTCAAAATTGGATTTTCTCAAAAAAAAACGTTAATTTTGGTCAACAAACCGCTGAATCGGGCAATTAACCGTTCAAACGATTTTGACCATTTTTTAATTTTTTTTGTTAGAACGGGTCGACCGTTCGAATCGGACCATTCAACCTAGTAACCGGACCCTAACCGGTTCGATCTCCACGTCGGCTTTAAAAACCATGGTTAACTCAGTGGGATGTGCATGTAGAGTCATTGTAAGGCGCCCTGTGGGAGGAGAAGATCCCAATTCGATGATCGGATACATCATTCAGCCCACGTAGCAAAATTATTTCTTGCACAGCAGGCTTTCCAATCATCTTGGTCCCAAGCTTGGAGACGAGGCTGAAGTTCTATAAATAGCATGCAAATTAAGTATCAAATATGTGAACCAAAGCCCAATTAACATCTGCTGTAAAACACAAACAAACAAACAAACAAAAATGAGTTTTCTTGCAGGGAGATTAGCAGGTACTGAGGGTGCTTATTTCTTACAGGAATCCAAATATGCCGTCGGCCGTCTGGTTCAGAAGAAGAAGCTCCCTTCTTCTCCTTCGGAAGCTCACCCGAAATCTTCTCCATTGGAGGACGAAGCCCAAGCTGACGTTCTTCCCGAGGTTCTCAGACACTCTCTCCCTTCAAAGATCTTCGAACAGCCCTTGGATTCTTCTCTTTCCACAGCTTCTAAATGGGTTCTTCCTGCTGATCCTAATAAGGCTGCTTCTGTCTCTGCCGATGCTATGAACCCTCTACGAGCTTACCTTTCTATGCCTCAGGTCACTTTTGGCGCCAAAAGGTCGGTAGTTTTTGTTCCTTCTTATACTTTTTGTCTCTCTTCTTTCTCCCTATGTATGTATTTGTTTTGCTTGTGAGTTGTAACGCCTACTGGTAGGAGTTGCTTCACAATTGGCCCTTAAAGGTTTGGTTTTGCTTCCGTTCTTTATGAGAGTCCCGGTTTGAATTTTGATTACCAAGTCGTTTCCTACTTGCTTTGAATTAGTGTTGTTGCCCTAGGCATGTATTGGAATTGGGCATGTTTGTTATTTTGGGGATTTGAAATGCTGCGTTCATGTAGAGATTTCGGTAGAATTTGTTGTTTTTTCAGGATTAAATACAGTAGTCCGAATTTCGTGATAATTTCGCGTGGCAAATGAAGAAGCAAGCATTAAAACTATCTGTTTGGAATTCGGCTTATTGCGTACATAGAAAGATTTCTGTAAAATTTTCTTTTCCCTTTGGAATGTGCTTGCAGAGTTGACATGCTAGTAAACGTGGATAAATTATCCTTTTATTCTAAATTCTGTTTTATTTTCATTTGGTAAGGAAGAAGGTTGGAACTGAAGCATCTATTGGATTGTCTTCAGTGTCTTATAGTCTGCAGCTTTTTATTTTGATTTTACCTGTAAATTTCATTATGCGAAAAAAGAAAGACAGATTGAACAATGTATCCCGAAAGAAGAGTAGAAGACTTCCCAATGACTGTGCCATTAAATGTCTGTTCGTTAACATAAGCAATCTTCTATTGAATGCAGGTGGGAGTTGCCCAATGTGGAACATTCAGTTTTAGCCTCTACGGCAAATGAATTGAGGCATGATAGGTACGCCCATGTTAACCCTGAGAAGTTGAAGGCTGCAGCTGAAGGGCTTTCACAAGGTAAGTTACTTTTTGCTTTTCAAATTATCTCCAGTGTTTCTTTGGTCATGTAATGGGAGCTCTGCTCCGTGTTTTGTTTTTTAATCGACAGATATCTATTTTTTAGCATTTCCTAGTTTATTTTCTATATTTAGATCAGTCCGCATTTATGTTTTGTTCGTTATAAGTTTATCTGTCCATATAACATTTATAATCTGAAAATCCTAATTGCTAAGCCACTTGAAGATTCCAGAAAGAGAATTTGGAAGGGGAGTGGTAGCAAAACAAACCCCAAGGCAGTAGGATCTAAACATGAAATTGAAATCCTCCAACAATTCTAGGCAAGGGGAAATGATTCAAAGTGGGGAAAATATGTGAAGACGCTAGAGTATCAAAAAAGAAAGAAGTTTTAACAAAGAGGTTATAATTGCATTCTGGGGTAAGTAGGTTTTTCTTGGTCTTTTGGCTAAGATCAAGTAATATTAATAATGCTAGTTCTGTATATGGTTTTCTGTAGTTTCCATCAGTAACCTCTTGTGACTTGACAAAAATGTCAGAGTCAGTTACTTGGGTTGTTATGCTGATAGACATGCTGATGCTGTCTATTCCTTCATGCAGCTTCCCATATTCTCCTTTGTTATTGCAGACTAAACTCCTAATGTAATCAAAATTCATGAGTCATTTTTTGACTCTTATCATAGCATTCCATAAGGCATCTTATAACTCATGGTTTTGTCCCATAGTTGGAAAGGCACTTGCTATTGCTACTACAATTGTCTTTGGTGGAGCCACTTTGGCATTTGGACTAACAGCTTCCAAGCTAGAGTTGCACAATGTAAGTTAAAGTTTTCTGGCTAGTATGCTTTCAACTCTGAATCCATCCACTGCCATATGAACGACTGCCTGTTGGTAATGAAGGAGCAATTCTTGTGCATATAGAATAGAAACTGTGAAATGTTGTTTGTTCTGTATCTGTTTGTTTTAGGATCTAAATGTACATTTGTATCTCCTACATCAAGGTTCATTTCCTTGTACTTGCTCAAGTGTGATTATTTATTTGAGAAAAAAATTCAGTCAACACTGTTTCACTGATATTAATGTTCTTCAATATTCTTGTGACTTTTTTGAGAAAGTGAAAAGTATTTTTAAATATGCAAAAATTATGGTATGATCTCTGCACAATAAGGCACTATGCAACATAGCCACCCTTGAAACAAAAAGTGTATTAGAATAAAAAAGGAATTATAAGGAATACACTTGAAACAATTCTTAGTAGCTACCCAATCCTCATCATAATATTTTCTGGACTAGCCTTGCCCTCAAAAGGGTCCAATGTTTCTTTCTTACCGTATGGTCCATACCGTTGCCAATGGGATATCCCTCTAAACTCCCTCTTGTGCGCAACCCTTTCGGTTGCCAACTAGTAGGCCTTCCAAAGTTGTAGGAAAATAGTCCCGTACTTGGAATAGGCTCAAAATCTGACTCCATAGCCTGCTAGCAAACCTGCAGTGTATATACAGGTGATCCACTGATTCTGCTGCTTCCCCACACATGGAGCACCTAATGTTCACCACCATTCTTCTTCTGTTTGGGTTATCCACAGTTGGACACTTACCCCGTGTGGCTGTGTTGTAGTCCATAGTAAAAAGGTCACCCTATGAGGGTTCTGTATACGAAATTCTTCAAGATGGAAATTTACTGGTCTCAGAGCAGGTTAGCTGATTGTAGAAAGAGTTACATGGCTGTAACCAACGGTATTCAGACCTGTTTTAGCAAAAAAAAAGAGAAAAGTAAGTCGAAGAAGAGGACAAAAGAATGAAAAAGGGGGTGCAGAAAAAGTAAGTCTATTCTGTCGCCCCAAAGACTATTTATATGCATCACTTAAAAAAAGCTGTATACAGAAATACCCCTGAAGCCCAGTAAGAAAGAAAGACAAGAAACAATCTAATAAAAAATAACAAGACACTGAAAAATAATAGCCAATGGGACCACAAACTAATTTTACTTTATCTCTACAGATTTCACTATAAATCTTGCTGATCTCTCCCATGATCAATTTCTACTATCTACTTTGGATCTTTTAGGTTTAATCAAATTTATTGTCTGCAGAAGCTCCAACCGTAATTCCACCTCCCAGTCATTTAAATTCCTCCTGAAAGTGGGATTCCATTCACTTGTTCCCCATTAAAAGAGTACACATCTGAAATTAAGCATTCCTTGTTCTGTGCAATTTTAAATAAGGTTGGGTGTATCTCCTTTTATGACTGCTTTTCTTCCAAAACCTTATTCTTACCCCCTTTCCTACCTCATATTTGACCCCTTTATTGAATTCAAGGTAAGATCTCTGAATGCCACTCCACACTTGACAGCCGTAAGCAGCACTGGTTTCACCCAGATCCCAGTCCCTGTTAGTCAATCAAATGTTACTTGAATAATCCTCCTCCATTGACTATTAGGCTGTGCTCATTCCACCTCTAGAACCACATTCCTAAGAAGGCCTCAGTGAATCTTGTTCTGCCATTCCTTTTTGTTCAGTGCCATATCCGTTGTTAATAGATGGTTAATCTAGAATAACAAATAGTTTCATCATCATCATTAAAAAGCAAAACAAGCAAAACATAGAAATGCAAGAGTGGTGCCAAAACATAAGGTGATGAAGAAGAAAAAAAATTAGGCAATTACAATGGATGGACCTTATGTCTTAAGATCATCTTTTTCCAGGGAAAATGTGGAAAGTTGTTGTTGTTGTTCTTGTGCTATTTCTGTTCCTATTCCTACTACAATTATTGAGTCATGGTGTTGTTTCGATCAACAACAAAACATAAAATAGTACAATCATATGACACTGCTACTGTTGTTGCTGTTGCTTTTGTTGTTATTGCTTTTTTTATCAGCATTGTTATTGCTTGTTGTTTGAGTTATTGATGAAATTTTTTTGGTTAACTTTTTAAAAAAAAAGAATGTAGAAGAGGAAGATAGGGACACAGAAGTAAGAGCAGCATAAACAACAAACTACAGAAAAGGAAATAAATCCCAATTAGACTATTACTGGTCAATCTTAAATCTCCATGTGCTCATTCTTTGGAGAAGATATCAACTTCTTAGCTGAACTAGGAATCCTAGAGAATGAGGTTTTCATTTGAGATTCCACCACTAACATGTCCTGAAAATTCTGAAACATTGTCAAAAGGTGTTCCATCTAACCGAATAACTAAATAAGCCATTAAAGTTTAAGTCCCTCTATGGTGCTATTTGGAAAGTGTATTATTTAAAAAAAGCTACCAAAGGCAACCAAATAGATCATTTTATAACTTAGGGGAGGAAAACAAATCTAGGAATGTTTGTCCCTATCAGGAAATCAATGTGGTAAAGTGCAGTTTAATGAGATGGATGGAGGACCCTTGGGAAATGTTGCAAACTGTCAAGCTAGGCTGAGGAAAAGGTGAGCATTGAGAGAAGTAGAACTTAGCAATTTCTTAAGTTATTTCTATTGAACATGGTAACTAGCAACAAGGATCAATTGGGATGTTACAGCTGCATTGGACCTGACAAATTTGACATCATTAATGAGCATTCAATTTTGTATCACTTTAGATGCCAGTGGTGGAGCGGTAGTTGAGGTGCAAAAGCTGGGAGATTGTGGAAAGCCAGAATGACAAGAAACACATAAATTGCATGTGCGAGAGTTAGACTGCATATACAAATATAGCCCATGTACTTAGTACACTTGGACAAAAGGACCTCCAAGTATACAGGTTATGTGTACTCTGTTAAACAAAATGTGATACTCATATTCTACTAATTTCAGATTGATTTCAGCCATCATTGTCTTGTACATTTGTTTGATCTATTTTTTAATATCCACATGTTGTACTGATTCTTGAAATAAGATTATTATAACTTTCATAATTGTTACGTTTATTTTATTCCTCCCAAAAACATGTATTCCACAGTGCAAATTGCTGTTCTTTCAATTCTACCTTCTTCAGCTATTTGCTTTGAAAATCAATAAGGGATAATTCTAAACTGAAATTTTACATTCTTTTGACAGAGTGATGATATCAGAACCAAAGGAAGAGACCTTGTTCAACCCAAATTTGAGATGGTTAGGGAGCAATTGTTACCTGTTCGAGTCTGGGTATGGAGAATTTGTGATATATGAACAGGTTAGCTTTTGGCTTTGGAGTCTATGTCATGAAGCTAACTCAAGCTTCTGATTCCAGGTGGAAAACATGTCACAAAAATGGCATTTCAAAAAGGAGGAAGAAATTAAAGAGAAGCCTTTTATCAAAGAACTTTCTAGGATACTGGGTGCAAAGTCATCAAATTAATTTGCATGGGGATGAATTATACATGTTTTCTGAAAGAACTTAGGCTATGTTTGTTTTGAAGGAAAAGGTAGGGAAAGGTAGGAAAACCTATACAAGGTTTGTAAAGGTTTCTTTAACTTCCCCTTCCTTTCCCTATTCCTTCAAACCGAACACAGCTTTAGTGTAATATATATGTAGTATGAGAAACTGTATTTTTCCCTTATTGTTTTTTTTTTTTTTTCAGAGTGATCATTATATACCTTTATCAGGATATTGTATATATGAAAATAGCAAGGCCACGAGGACATCACCGTGGAAAAAATTTGGCAGTCTACCTTTAACAGCCTGTGTATTCCATTTTCAGGTACATTGTATTTTCAGAATTGGGATTTGCTACTCACACCAACCTCACAGCCACATTCCACCATGCACCATCTCTTAATGAATAATAATATATAACTACGGGAAATGTTCTAAATGTGCAGCTTGGACATGTTGTGAGGTCGATGTAAGGAGCGCCGTGTGAGGAGAAGATCCAAACTTGTATTTTCAGGGGCTGTGGTGTCAGTCAACCATTGAGTTGAGTCATGGCTCATTGCAATGGAAACTCATGATTTATGTGCAATGCAAATGAGTCAAGGTTTAAAAGTATAAGAAAGGGTATGAAAGGCAACTTCAAGAAACATCAAGAGAGTGCGCTTAGAACACATGTAGATATGGTGGGAAAATTAAGATATGCATGGATATATTGGGAAAATTCAAACGATCTCAAAAGTTAAATCAATGGCACTAAATTTTAGTGTTAGATGAGATTATAAATGAGTTGTATAATTGTAAAATTTGATAGCTTATGTGAATTATTAGGGGTGAATATGGGTTGGTTTGGTTCGGTTTTATGGCAAAACCTGGAACCTACTTTGTAGGGTTGGTTTTAGGTTTTTAGAATCGGAACCTATCTTATAAAGGTTAGCTCTAGGGTTAGTTCTAGCCTTGGTGGTTCTGAGATCAATTTCAAGGTTTACTCATAGGACTTGTTTTTTCTTTACTCTCTCCCTTCAATAAAAAAAGAAGCAGGTTCTTTAAAAACTTGATTTTCAATAAATATAGGGCCCATTTGGTTCACAATCAGAACTGGAATTGGAATTGGAATGTCTTATTCACATAGTCTGTTTGGTTCAAATAGGAATCAAAATGGGAATTGAAATCAGCTGGAATGGGATTTCATTCCCAAGGGATGGGGAGGGAATGGCCATTCCCTAAAATGGGGGAATGCCATTCCACCAAGAATGGGAATGGAATTCCAATAACACCCAACCAAACAGTTGGTCATTCTGATTCCGATTCCAAACCCTTATTCTTGTGAACCAAACGGGACCATAATATATAATTTAAAACTTATATTATCTTTGGGAAAATCTATGATACAGAAAAGAGATGATATAGAAACAGTTTTGACCAATCAAAACCCACCCATGAATTTTGATAAATAACACCATGTTCTCTACCACGTCTATGATTTTGGCTTATTTGTCAATTATTTTTCTTACCATATCTTTTCCATGTCATAGTCGAACTCATTATCTTTATTGATTAAATTGAGTAACTTAATATATAGAGTATCATTATATGGTTCAAAATTTATAATTTAAATTTAAATTTTTTAAATATTACCCTTTACATTACTTATTGTAGGCATTCAAATATTAAAATGAAAACAAATATTCAAATCACTTAAATAACTCAATGGTCAAGTGAAACCATGACCTTTGTAACCATGAGTGTTTGGTTTCAAATCTTTACACCGACAAATGTATTTTGGAGTTTATTTCAAGGCAAATTTGGTTCTAAGGCACATTTCACCAAGATCGGTTCATCAAGTCAACCCCTAGACTTTGGAATTGGCCTAAGTGGGAGTTGGTAACAAGAATTTGGAACTAGAGCCTAATCTATAACAGATTTGATAGAATTGATTCAAGGCCGATTCAAAGTCGATTCCATTCGGTTCCAAGTCAAACCTACCCATTTACTCACCCCTATGGAGTACGACTACGAATTATCGGTAAATAAGTAGGAAATGCTGAGTAACGAGAAAATTGATAATAATTAAGATATGCATGTTTATGAAACAATATACTTATAATTTGTTATGACTTTATACATTGTAATAATCAATCATTCAACTATTTGAAATTTGTTTAAAGGCTTGCACTAAGTTAACTCGTATGGTTATAAGTGGTTGGAGTATGATGGTAGATTCGCTCTTATTCATTCAACTATTTGAAATTCCAAATCCCAATCTGAAATCCCTTTACCAAATAGATCAGGTTTTAATATTCAAATTCGAATTCGAGACAATCAGAACGGATGCCCATTCAGGTATCAAATTTTTTTTGGAGTCCAATGCAGCAGCCCTAACCACAAAGAATACAAGACAAAGATGCCATTCCGGCATCAAGACAGCCCATCTTTATGCCAGTTCAGAAGCTTAGTTCCTGCCCGTGCCTCCAGGTTGACATGTTTATTGGACTAACCATGCCATTGAGCCAGATGAACCAAAACAAAAAAACGGAACATGGACGAACATGAGAGAGATTGTATAATGCGTTTCTTTCTAAAAAAATCACGGTGACAAATGGAAAGGGGTAACTTTGAATTACCAATGGGCAGAAGCACAAAAGGATACAATCTTTGCACTATTACATGAAATAAAGATCATTAAGTAGGAAATCCGCAGAATTACTACTACCTCTATAACCAAATCCCTTATGATACACACACTTAACGCTTTTGATGGCTGAGACCATTGAAAGGAGAAAGGGATTAATAGGACCCAAAAAAAGAACTGCCCCCAATAGCCAAGGACCCCCCCCCCCACCTTCAATTCTGCAGGTGTGATTATAATATATGCAAAATAACAGAGGGGCCAACCTTACACTCCTCCCCCCTGGGTCCCTGAATCATCAAGAAAACACATACAAACCTCAAAGCTCACAGCTCTCAACTACCCACAGTGGCTCGTGGAGTTGTGCTGGTAGCAATGGCCAGGGAAGAGGCAAACCTGGAGACAAGCACAGCTTCATTGCTTATAGCCTTGGAGGCTGCAACATCTTCCAAGCGCTTCCATGTAGATTCCCGCTTCTCCTGTGTCTCCTTCTCCTTCAATTCATCTTCCTTGAATCTGATCGAGCATTCCTCAAAGAGCTCTGGATCAGCGTCCGTGAAGATCTTCCTCACATTCAATGTCAGGCTCTGGACAGCCTGGTTCCAGTGACTTCTGGTGTTCCTTTCCAAGGCTGGAAAGATTATTGGAAATATCACCTTACGGTTCTGTGTTATCAAATTCCTTATGTGGTCATTGTTCCAAAGGAACAAAGCTCGCTCTGCTACCTGCAACACAAAGTATTGTATCTTGAGCAATGAAAACATGATAAAATTTCAGTGACAAGATGGCTATCACGAAAACTAGTACTGGAATTTCATCATGCAAATTTACAAGGTAAAATGAGATGTTTGAATGTTCTTCCAGTTCAAGCAATAGGACTTGATAACCATAATTCCTAGCAGAGGGGGAGAGAGAGAGAGAGAGAGAGAGAGAGAGTGTAAAAGATGCCCCGTCAAACTGTCCCTTGAAAACAAGACGAATATTTACTCAAATAATTAAGAAATTGACGTCAACAAAAAAATATTAAAAAGCATGCATGAGAAGATCAAGGGGAACACCAAAGAAAATGTGGTAAGAAATAATTTGATAGAAAAAGATGGCTCTTTATAGAGCATAATGGTGGGACAGGATTCGTGTGGCCAACCTCAAATAGTTAGGATGTAGTTGAGTTGTATGTGGTAAGAGCCAACTCTTTTGGTTTCACAAAGGAAGATGAAGAATAGAAACAAAAGGAACAAGGAGATGGGAGTACCTTTCAAAAAAGGAGTCAAAAGGATAAATAATAGAAACAAAGATTATCCAGTCTTTTGGTTCTACCATGAATGATCAGTTCATCAAGTCAAAGATAAAAGCTGCATTCAGTGAAATATCAATTTTGAACTCTTTTTTTATAAATTCTCATTTAATTCTAACTAGGAGCTTGATTTGATGATTCTTGTGCCACTGGAAAGGAGGAAATGAAGTGCAGTAATCTCATCCTTTTCCTGCTTTTTTCCCTACTAAGTTTTCTGTTTTTACAATATTTTCACTCTTTTTCTCCTTTTTTACTTTGATCAGCTTCCATTCTCTTTCTTATTATACTATTGGGGGTGGGGGTTGATCTGGGCACATCTTGTCTTGTTAAGTCCAGATCTCTTGTTCACATTCATCTGTTAAGATTTAAGAATTGCTGCTTATCCAATCAATAAATGGATAAGCAGCAATGATGGAGGAGGGCATGCAAAGCGCAAAGGACTTGAATGTGAACAAATTGATCATTGAAGGGGACTCGCAATTGGTGATAGGGTGGCTGCAGAATAGTGAGAATACTTTGTGGCCTCGTGGGTGTACAGGAATGAGTTAAAAAAGTTTAAGTGGCTAACTAAAGATAATGGATGTAAGGTTTCAATGGGTGCAAGGGCCAGCTAATAGCATGGTTGATTCCTTAGGTGGTAATTATTGGGTGGATCATGGATGAGCTGGGAATGTCTATGGATACCCCACCATTTAATCAAAGAGGCAAAATCTTTAGCTTCTAGATTGAATACTTCTTAGATGGGAGCAGTGTAGAGATAATGGGCCAAATGGGCCTTAGTTTCTTTGTTTTTCTTATGTTTTGACTTGTGTTAGTAGGTAGTGGGCCTTAGTTATGGGCCTGTTTTCTCTTTTTTTATTGTTTTTTATTGTTGTCCTTAGTGATAGACACCCTACTAAGAGCATTCATGTAATTGTCTTTATTTTTTTACAACAAAATAATAAAAGAGATCATTGGGGGCTGAAGAGAGGTTTTGAACTACTCTCTTTTCTTCTTCCTTTTTTTCCATCTTCTTCCTCCATCACTTTTCTCTCTTCAATCTTCTTCTTTTCTCCTAATTCTTTTCTTTTAATTCAGATTATTGCAGGTGTTATTTACAACTTGGTATTAGAGCAGGTTCTCACCTTCTTTTCTTTCTTCTCTCTTTCCCATACATAGTGGGCATGGAGAATTGATTGGCTGATTAGGGAGCAGCTTATGTAGCCCAATGGGAGGGTTTTTGGGGAGGTTTTGTGAAGTTTTTCATCCCCAATTGAAGCCCAAGATAGGTTCTTGGAATTTTTTTCCCGAAAACCCTAAACAACAGGAGAAAACTAGTTACAAGTCCTAGAGACACTTTGAAGCTGGAGCTTGTAGATCAAAGGGTAGTCTTTTGATTTTAATTAAGGGTGACTTGAGTTGGACATGGTTCTAGAACCTCTGGTAGGAGCGGTTTAACTTTCTCCTCCTCTCATTCGGGTGGGTCCTATGAAACTCTAGATTTGGTTGTTTGAAGAGTAGCTTTTTGTTTGTATAGCAATTCTAGCTTAGTTGAGACTTATTTTGATCTTTGTTTCACTCAATGGAGCAAACTGGAGGAGAAACCAAATATCCCATAGATTTCGAGTTTGGACATGGAGGGGTCAATGGAGAATCTTTTTGGGGTAGTGACCACTATAAGGCTAGATGGGACCAATTATTTAGCTTGGGGTTACATCACTGGGAGCAAGAAGAAACCGGGAGAGGATGACCCTACCTATGAGAGGTGGATGCAGGAGAATTACACAGTAGTGGGTTGGTTAATGAATTCTATGCAGCCACATATTAGCCAGCACTACTTGTGGATGAAAATTGCAGATGTATGGGATAGTATCACAGAGACCTATTCCCAAAAATTAAATGTTGCTCGGGCTTACAAATTGAAGAATGATGTAAATAATCTAAGACAAGGGAGAAGCCCTTAGCTATTTACTTCCCCATGCTAAGATCTCTTTGGCATGAGATTGATTTGATGGAGACTGTGGTTTGGGGGTGTACAAAGGATGCTGAAACCATTGTTTTAAAAGGCAAGGCGCACAGATTTTGCCTCAAGGCTTCTTTGTCAAAATGAGGTGTAAGCCACAAGCCTCAAGGCATGAGGCGTAGCCTAAGGCGTAAAAAGGTGTAAGCCTCAAGTGTTAATGATTAATTAGTGATTTAATGCAAAAAAAAAATGTATTTTTGTACTTTAAAACAATAGGAAAAAACTTCAACAATTATGAGCCAAATAAAAAAAATAAAAATGAAAAACCAATAAGGCAAATCAAATTCTGTTATCTTCTCTTAGCATTTTAATAGAGTTCAATGCAAAAAGGACTAATCAAGTTCCTAGTTTCTTTTGGATAAATCAAGTGAGATTTTTCTTATTATTCTAAATGTAATGTCCCAATAACAATAACAATTACAATAACAATAATAATAATAATAATAATAATAATAATAATAATAATAATAATTTCCTTTCTTTTTAACTATTGGATGGCCATAAATCTAATATCAATTATGTGGATTATTCTTCATATGTTTCTTTCCTAATAAATTGGTTTGGTTTTTTACATGAAATGTAAAATGTTTATAATTGTTAGTTGATTAGTTACTATTTTATTTAATGATTAAACTCCAAAATTCATTGCTTATAAACTTTTATTTTATGGATGTGTGACTTCTATCATTTTAATTTGGTATACTATATGTTATTTTCATTGATTTACAAAGTTTAATTAATTTTTTCCTTAAACTTTGAAGCTTACGCTTCACCTTTTTGGGCCATTCCGCCTCAACTACACCTTTAGCCTTTTAAAACCTTCGTTGAAACACATAGGAAACTGGTGGAAAGAAATCGGGTTTTACTGGACTCAACCCGGAGTATGATATTGTGAGACAAAATGTTTTGGCAAAGGATGAGGTGACTTTATCTCAAGCTTATGCTATGGTGAGTGGTGAGGTGATAAGGAGATAGGTTCAATCTGTAGAGCCATAGATGGATCACTATGCTAATGTCGAAATGAAGTCGAAAGTTAGCACTGGGAAGAAAGATGTTTGTGAATACTGTAAGAAGCCTAAACATGCTAAAGACACCTGTTGGAAGTTGCATCCAGAGCTTATACATGCCAGACTCAAAAATGCAAACTGTGGAAAAATGAATGAGAATGGGAAAGATGGAAATGCAAATGTAGCCACCTCCTCACAGAGTGAACAGGAGCATGGTGGTGAGAAGTCAGTGGGAGAGCAACCAGCAGCCACCAGGGCTGAGTATGAGAAGTATAGCCAAATGATTAGTCACCTAGAGTCTTACTGCTACAACACCTACTTCATCAGAGCCAGTTCCCTCTTCATACGCATATACCCATTCAGGTATTCGTGCTACTACGAATCATGCTTCTATCTCAAGTAATCGTAGGAACCCTTGGATAATTGATTCTGGTACCTCTGACCATATGACTAGTGTGTCCCATTTATTTTCTACTTACCGGCTTTTATCTAGGCAAGATAAGATCACCCTTGTTGATGACTCTTGCTCCTATCTCTAGCAAAGGAAACATCAGAGTTTCAGACACCATCACCTTATCCTCAGTTCATGTTCCTAAATTAAACACTAATTTGCTTTCAGTTAGTAATTTGACAAAATCTTTGAATTGTAGTGTGACCTTTTTCCCTTCTTACTATGTTTTTCAGGACATAGACTCTCAGAAAGTGATTGGGAGTGGCCATGAGGCAAAAGGGATATACCTGTTGGACATGCCTGGACAAAGTCAAGTATCACCTCCAAGAGCAGCTTTTGGTTCAAATGTGTCCGAGTCTCAGCCAGTCATATTATGTTATGTCATTATCGACTAGGTCATATTTCTTTTTCTAAATTGAGTCTTTTGTTTCCTGTTTTGTTTAAAGAAACTAAGTTGTCAAGTCTACATTGTGAGTCATGCGAGTTGTCAAAGCATTGTAGAAACTCTTATTCTACAAGAAATAAAAGATCTACAGTTCCTTTTCATATTGGTCATTTTGATGTGTGGGGGTCATGCCATTTACTTTGCATGGGTGGTTATAAATATTTTATTTTGTTTATTGATGATTTTTCTCGTTATACCTAGCTTTATTATCTTATGTGTTCCCGTGCTAAAGTACTTAAATTTGTAAAACAGTTTCATGAATTTGTGCTTACCTATTTGATACATGCATCAAAGTTCTTGTCCTCGTACTCCAAAACAGAATGGGGTAGCACAGAGAAAGAATCAACATGTTAAAGTAGCCAAGAACATCCTTTTTGCCTCCCATGTTCCAGTGAGATTTTGGGGTGATGCAGTGATGACAGCTACCTACCTTATTAATCGCATGCCTTCTCGAGTCTTGGAGTTCAACTCTCCCTTTGCCGTCCTGTTTCCTCTTCCATTGCATGTCTTTGGGTGCACATGCTAT